CCAGATTCTCTGGTGCGGGTCCTAACCCACCCTTGGTCAGTGCTGGTCACCGACACCTAGAGTAGTACAGGAAGGGTAGACCTAACTATTGGGAGAAATCCCTAACGCTTTTCCAGGGTAGAATTCTGGCTAGTCCAAAAAGGGTCCTTTCTTTTAAGGTTTTGAGAAACCAGACACTGCAACTTTATTAGTATTGGTGACATTTGTTTGGAGCAAATTCAGCTCCAGGGGCTGCACGGTTGAATGCAGGAGGAGTTCCACCAATTGCCCCAATTCCTTCCATTGTAGCAGCTTGGCCAAAGCGTTCAGTTGTTGGTGGGGTCAATCCCAAGGTTCCATCCGGCATCATAGTGGCAGGTCCTGGAGGAGCGGGGGTACCAGTTGGCACAGGAGCAGGGGGCATGGCACCTCTGCTGTTTATGCCCATAGCACCTCCCATAGCCATCTGGCCCATCCATATCTCCTGCTCTCTCGCATCAGGGAAGGTTCCCTTGAATCCTTCCTGCTGTCACCGCATCACTTATTCTTGTTGTCACCGCATCTCTTCCTCCCGGCGCCTGCGCTCCTCCTCCTGCCTGAGCTCCAGTTGCTTTCGTTTTTGCACCTCTTGGTTGTGCAGCTCTTCCATCCTCCGAAGTTCTTCTTGGGCCTCATCAAATCCTGTCTCATTAGCATGACCTGATGCTCATGGCGAGCAGCCTCCATCTCCATCTCCAGCTTTTCACGAGCCTCCTTGATGTTGCGGTCCACTTGGTCCTGCTGCTGCTTCTCCATCTCAATGAGTGCCTTCCAGCCATGGCATACTCATACTCAAAGGAGCCAGGCTGTGCAAATCTCGGTGGCTGCTCTCGCTCCTTGTGAAATTGCTGGTTCTTTATAACCAGCTTCTCTGGAAGTCCCTCTTCGTCATCTAACTGGTCCATGGGTTCCACAGTCACAGGACGAGGAAAAGTGGTTAGCAGAAAGGAGCCTTCACTGCATCTGTCCAAAGCTTTCCGAGCGGCTGGCTTCCCTGAGAACTCAACAATGCCTTTTCCTGAGGGCCTTCCTCGATCATCCACAATGACTACAGCCCTCTCCACCTGGTCAAATACAGAAAAGGCTTCTCAGTATTAGTTCGTTGAACAAATACTGAGGGAGGTTTTGGACCGTAAGGGATGCACTGTGGCAGGCAAAGCGTACACGCAGTTGCTTTCCACGGAGGGGCATATTGTCCAGCTCCACTTTAGCAATCTCCGCTAGGGTTCGTGTTTCCAAGCAGATAAAGCCAAATCCTTTATCCTTATGAATGAAAACTTCGCCTGCCTTCCTATATTTCTCAAATAGTTTCCTCATTTCCTCCTCAGTGATGTGAGGAGGAAGATTTCCCACAAAGAGACGGCTTCGTTGGGTAAAGGTCTTCTCTCCTGGTTTCCTAAAATTCTTCAGGTCAGCAGTCAAGCCTTCATTTTGGCTGCTGGTCTGCTGCCCATTTGCAGGTATTGGCGGTGGTGGTGGCTGCTGCTGTTGCTGCTGGTGGTGCTGCTGCTGGTGGTGATGCTGATGATGCTTTCTTGGAGTATGGCTTTGCTTCTCCAAACTAAAAGTTGTATTGCTCTGCATTTTTGCACCCTCAACTCCGACTGAAGACAGCAAGTGCCTCTCAGTTCTCTCTAACCCTGAAAACTTCCTCCAGAGAGTGGCCTCTCCTCGGAGTAACGGTGACACTCTGTCTTATATTTCTTTTTCTTGCATAATTGCTCTAACTAGAATCTCCAGTCATGGTAAAAATGGACCACCTGCCTCATTCCTGATTTCAAGGGAAAAGCATTCAGTCTTTCCCCATTGAGTATGATGTAAGTTGTCCACAAATGTCTTTAATCATGTTGAATATGTTCTCTTCTATTCCTAGTTTTCTCAGAGTTTTTAACATGAAAGAATGTTAGATTTTGCAAAATGACTTTCAAGCATCAATTAAGATGACTGCATGGTTCCCCTTCTTTGATTCTATTAATGTGATGTATTATTACATTGATTGATTTTCTTACGTTGAACCACCCTTGCACCCTAGTATACATCTTACTTGGTCATGGTGTATAATCCTTATAATATGCTTTTGGCTTTGATTTCCTAGTATTGTGTTGAAGATTTGTAGATCTATATTTATAAGGAATGTTGGTCTGTAACTTTCTTTTCTAGTGATGCTTTTATCTGGATTTAGTATTCAGGATAATGCTAACCTCACACAATTAGTTAAAAAGTATTCACTTCTCTTTCATTTTTAAAACAGTTTGAGAAAGATTGGTATTAATTCTTCTTTAAATGTTTGGTTCAGCTCACCAGTGAAGTAGTCTGGTCCTGTACTTTTCTTTGTTGGAGGTTTTTGATTACTGATTCAATGTTTTTACATGTTATAAGTCTCTGGAGATCTTATACTTTATCTTGAGTTACTTGTCTGTTCTAGGAATTTATCCATTTCAATTAAGTTTATCTATATTGTTGGGATACAGTTGTACATAATATTCCTATTATAAATCTTTTACTTTCTTTTGGTCAGGAATAAAGTATTCACTTTCATGTCTGATTTTAGTTACTTGAATCTTCTCTTTCTTTTTGGGGGAGACTTAGTCTTATAAGGGTTTGTTAATTTTGTTGATCTCCAAGAACTAACTTTTGATTTTTTTGGTTCTATTATTTTTCTATTCTTTATTTTATTTATCTCTGTTATCTTTACTTTCCCCTCTGCCATCTTTGGGTTTACTTTGCTATTCTTTTGCTAGTTCTTTAAGGTATACAGTTAGGTAATTGATCTTCCTTCCTTCTTCTTCTTTTTTTTTGTTAAGTTGGAGCCTCACTCTGTCACCCAGGCTAGAGTGCAGTGGCACATTCATGGCTCACCACAGCCTTGACCTCCCGGGCTGGTAATACTTCCACCTCAGTCTCTTCAGTAGCTGGGTCTATAGGCCCACATCACCATGTCCCACTAATTTTTTATTTTTTGTAGAGGAGTTATTGCTGCCTAAGTTGGTCTCAAACTTCTGGGCTCAAGCAATTCTCTTGCCTCAGCCTTCCCAAGTTCTGGGATTACAGGTGTCAGTCATAATGCCCAGCTTTCCTTTTTTAATATAGGCACTTAACAGCTATAAATTTGACTCTGAGCACTGCCTTCACTGCAGCCCATAAGTTTTGGTATATTGTGTTTTCCCTTTCATTCATTTCTAAGCACTTTCTAATTTCTCTTGTGATTTCTTCTTCAACCCACTGATTTATGTTTAAAAGTATGTTGATTAATTTCCACATGTTTTTAAACATTGCAACGATTTTTTCTTTTTTTTCTGTTATTGATTTTGAGCTCCATTCCATTGTGGTTGGAGACAATACCTTATATGACTTCAACCTTTTTACATTTACTGAGACTTGTTTTGTGGCCTAATATATGGTTTATTCTGGAGAAGTTACATCAGGTATTCTTTAAAATAATGGGTACTTTGCTGTTGTTGGGTAGAAAGTTCTATATACAGTCATGCCTTGGTATCCATGGGGGATTGATTGGTTCTAGGATCTCCTTTGGACACCAAAATCCATGGATGCTTCAGTTTCTTATATATGAGTAAAATGATGTGGTGTTTGCATACAATCCATGTACATTCTCCCATATACTTTAAATCATCTCCTGATTATAATCATGCATCGCTTAATGACAGATATATTCTGAGAAGTTAGTTGTTAGGTGATTTTGTTCTTGCGTGATCATAAAGTGTTCTTACACAAACCTAGATGGTATAGCCTACTACACATCTAGGCTATAGGGTATAGCCTATTGCTCTAGGCTACTAACCTGTACATGCTGTTACTGTACTGAATACTGTAGGCAGCTGTAACACAATGGTAAGTATTTGTGTATGTAAACATGAGAAAATATAGTGAAAATATGGTATAAGAGATAAAATATGGTATACCTGTATAGGGCACTTAATATGAATGGAGCATGTAGGACTGGAAGTTACTCTGGATGAATCAGTGAGTGAGTGAACAAATATAAAAGTTTAGGACAGTATTGTACACTACTGTAGATTTGATATGCACTATATACTTTGGCTACACTAAAATTATTTTTTAAATGTCTTTATTCAATAATAAATTAACCTTAGGTTACTGTAACTTTTTTACCCAACAAACTTTTTAACTTTTAAAACTTTTTGACTATTTTCTAGTAACACTTAGCTTAAAATACAAATACATTGTACCGCTGTACAAAAATATATTCTTTATATTCATATTCTATAAACTTTTTTCCTATTTGTAAAATACTTATTCTATTTTTACTTTTGAAGTTTTTTTTTGTTAAAAACTAAGACAAAAACACATACATTAGCCTACACAGATTCAAGATCATCAAGACTTTACTAGGTGAGAACAATTTTCAACTCCATTATAATCTTACAGGATTACTGTTATATGCAGTATGTGGTTGATTAAAATATTGTTATGCAACACATGACAGTACTTATATCACCTAATACAATGTAAATCTATGTAACAGTTGTTATATTGTATTATTTCAGGAATAATGACAAAACAAGTCAGTGTAGACACAACCATTTATTATTTTTCCCCCAAATATTTTCCATTTGTGGTTGGTTGAAGCTATAGATGTGGAATTTATGGATATGGAATGCAGACTGTATAACTGTTAGGTCTAGTTGGTTACTGTGTTGTTCAAGACCTCAATATCCTTACTGATCTATTCTATCCATTATGGAAGTGAGATACTAAAGTCTATTCTTATAGGACTGTCCATTTCTCTCTTTTAGTTCAAAAGCACTCTTTGAAAAGTGAAGACTCCTATAATCTTTAAAAGGGCCAAAATATGTTTTAAAATTTATATGTGTATATCTGTTGACCAAGAAGTCCCAATTTTAGAAAATATTCTAAGGAAATCACATTATTAAACCCTTACTAGATGCCAGGCCCTGGTCTAAGCACTTTAAATGTATCAACTTATTTACTGGGTAGTTCTTTTATTATCTCAAATTTATGAATAACACAGAGGTGAGTACTTGACAAGTAGGTAAATACATGTGACTTCAAGCTTTCATTGCAGCAGTGTTTATTATGGAAAAAAATAAAAAGCAAAGCACTAGATAGAACATGGCAGTGAGAATCAGGAAACCTGGGATTAAATTGTACTATAAAATTTTTAACTCCTTTGGGCCTCAATTTCCTCAAATAAAAATAATATCTAAGATTCTTCTAGTTTGTACTTCATAATTTGTTTTATCATGCAAAGCATCTAAACCAGTGCTAGAAACAAAGCAGGTCCTCACTGAAAAGTATTTGAGATGGTAATGTAATGACGTCTATACACTAATCTTGCTCTAGAGGCATAGATGTACATAAAAAAAATACAGCTCTACTTTGCAAAGTTAACCAACACTATGCATTCATGATTACCAAAACAAGCACCCCCCCCCAAAAAAACTAGAGTTTATATTTCTATTTATAGAAAAGGAATCTTACTTCCAACCACTGAAATACAACTGTTAGAGAAAAAGTTCTGGCCAATTCTACCAAATGATTTATTCACTAATATGACACATTTATTAAACAAGCATTAACTATCTGGCCCTTCCCCAGGGCAGGTTAATAGAATAGATACAGAAATTATAATAAGAGCTATGCTACAGGCCTTATAAGAATTCTTAAAAAGCAGCATAGAATGAGTACTTAGACCTCCCAATATGACATTTAAGTTAATTCTTATATGTTCTGAATGAATAAAACACTAGACTAGGAAAAGCACTGCAAGGAGTAAGTAGAATGGGGGCTGATGGGCAAAGCAAGAAGAAACAGGATAGGCAAATTTAGAGTAAAAAAAGGCAGACACCACATTCATACTATCAATACTGGAATAATAAGGTGTCAATTTGATTTTAATTCACTCGCTATGATATACATAATATTATTATTATACTGATACCAAGTCCTTGTGATATATCAGCTTACAAATCAAAGTATGTAATCCTTACATGAAGCAGTTTTACACTTAAGAAAATTAAGGTATAAGCCGGGTTCAGTGGCTTAGCCTGTAATCCTGCGCTTTGGGAGGCTGAGGTGAGTGGATTGCCTGAGCCCGCGGGTTCGAGACCCACCTGGGCAACTTGGTGAGACCTCATCTATACAATAAATAAAAAAATTAGCCGGGTGTGGTGGCGCATGCCTGTAGTTCCAGCTACTGGAAGGCTGAGGTGGAAGGATTGCCGGAGCCCAGCGGGTTGAGGCTGCAGTGGCTGGGAGCGGCTACTGCACTCCAGTCTGGGTGACAGAGTGAGACTCCAACTCAAAAAAAGAAAAAAAAAAGAAAGAAAAGAAAACATTAAGGTATAAAGAAGTCAAATGTTTTGTCCAGTGTTACACAACTAGTAACTGGTGAAGTCAGAAGTAGGGAGTATCACACAAAGGTTTGTACTGCAAATCAACCTCTGCTGAGATGTGTTAGCCAATGCCCATTATCATCTCATCCCAACTAACACAAGTGTTTGCACAGCTACAGCTAAACTTCTCTCAAGTCATTTACAATACAGACATGGGGTCTAGATATCTAACCACAACTCCAATGCAGATTACCAGTACATTTTAAGATTATATTTTAAGGAATAATTTTTATAGTTCATTACTAGAGATTACAATACATCTTGTTCAGGTAGGCAGTCCCTCCTAAATATTTTTACCGCTTTCTGATAGATTCCCATTTCCCACTAAACATAGCTGTCTCTTTGCTTTCATATAATTAGAAAATCTGTATCAACTTCCTATTGGTAAGAATGAGAATTAAGAATACTGGGATGAAAGACAGTTAGTTTTCACCCTATACCAACTAGAGTACATAAGCTAACACTCCTAACAAACATAAAAAGAAGAAAGTTAATTAAGCTTCATAAATATGAAATCAAAAGATACCTTCAGTCCCTCCAATTCATTTTCCAGTTGCTTAGAATAGTGCTCACTCTGTTCACGCAGTTTCCTGTCTTTAGATACTTCAGCAGCCAGAGCTTCTGTATGAACTTCCAGCTTTAAAATTAAAAAAACAAAACAAAACAAAACAGATTTCATGGTTATAATTTTTTTCCAACAAAACATTCTCCCCCATGGGAATTTATCTTTGAAGATAATTCAAATGCTGAAATTCACATTAGATAATATTGACAAACTATAAAAATAACGTTTAAAAAATTTTAATTACTATTATTTCACTAGTCTCAAAAAGCAGCTTAAATCACTATACCATGGGCACTACAAAATTTGCCTGACTACTAACCTCTTTTTTGGCTCTTTCTGTTCTGCGCAGTTCTTGCCTTAAGCTTTCAACCTTTTGCATCACCAGGTCCACCTCTTCTTCCTTATCTCGGACATGGCGAGCAAGTTTCTGTTTTTGGGTGTGCAATTCTGTTAGCCGCTCATTGATCTCCATGAATTCCTGCATGGCCAGTTTCCTCTGACAGTGTGCGTCTTTCAGCTCTTTGGATTGGTTTTTTAATCGCTCACTAGCCTGGACTAGTTCCTACAGTTTTGTAAAAAGAATATAAGTTACCAATTCTGCAACCTAGAGACCAAATATGGCCATCAGAGTAGCTGTTATTAAGTCAAGAGGAGCCAAAATTATTAGCCTCAGGACAAAAATTAAAATAAATGAACTACCTATGTACAGATATCAAGGGTATGGTGCCTTGTTTATAGTCTCAATTCCTTATACTAACATGGCAAATGCAAGGGAGCTCCTAAGTAAACCTTATAGTACCTTAGTTTCCACAAACGAGTCGAGTATACAGATATAAGATATGATAATCAAAATAAAATTTTGTAAAATTTAATAAATATTCATGAGGGTTTTTTATATTAAATGATAAAAAATAACAAAAACAAAACACAAAACAAAGCTGTCCTTGATATGGAGACCAAACCTTAACCCAGAAGCAAATAGAAAAAAACCAAATCTAAGACTCCCTGATTAGAGTGAGAAACTTAGAGGAGGGAGAAAGTGGACTCAGCTCAGTAGAACAACCTGTATCCAAGCAAAAGGAAATGCAAATCTTCCTTGGGGAAAAGAACCTCAATTAAATCTGAATTTTTCACATATAGAACAAACAAGTGTGAGCTCACAACCACAGATTCCAAAATACCCAAAGAACAAACCACCATACTCAAACAGAAATAATAAACAAAAATAAATATCAAAGTAAACAAAAATAAATAAAAAATAAACATAAAAATGTCTGGGTATTAGAATAACAAGGTAGTGACATAAAATTGCTATGTATAAAACACTTAAAGAAATAAAAGATAAAATCATAATTTAAAAAGACAAAACAACTATTAAAAATGATTTTAAAAAGATTTATAGGGTTATACAGAACATTTACAAATGAAAAAATATGTGTTAAATTTTAAGACACAGATCTACCAATACAGGAAAAGTGAAAAGAAACCCAAAGCCAGGAACACTCAAAAAATGAAACTGAGTAATACCAAAAAGAAGCAAAAAATCTTAAAGAAATCGGAGGGGATAAAAAGACGAATCAGCTGTTCTCTATCCTCAGAAAAAGGCAGGGGTGGGGGGGAGTAATTAGATTTAGAGGAGACACTGAAGATTTGAAGAAGTAACAACAGAAACAGAAACATGAAAAAACATTTTTAGAGAGAAAAAATTTAAATTATATACCCATAAAAATTATTTCTTAAGTATGAGCTTTCATAAAACAAAAATAGAGCTTACCATAATCAGATCTGCTCTAAAGGAACCTGTAAAGCTTTATTTCAGGAAAAAGAAAAATAGTTTGAGAAGAAACATCTAATGCAAGATAGAGAGCTAAGAAACTGGTAAATATGAATGTGAATGTAAACAAACGTGTATGTAAAATTGTATTATAAAAATGTTGACTTTGTACAGTGAACAAAATAGATAATTAAAATATTCGTCAGTAACAGCACATAAATAGGGAAGAGATAATACAGGTTAAGTATCCCTAATCCAAAAAATATGAAATCCAAAATGCTCCAAAATCTAAAACATTTTGAGTACTGGCACAATGTTCAAAGGAAATACTCTCTGGCTCACTGTGAATCTGGGATTTTTGGTTTAAGGATACTCAACTGATATAATGCAAATATTCTAAAATACAGTAAAATTTGAAATTCAAAACACTCTGTAACCAAGCATTTTGGGTAAGAGACACTCAATCTGTAGAATTTAATGTCCTTAAATTGTTTGGGGAAAATAGTTTGGGATACTGAATTTAAACACTGTTAATATGCATGGCAAAATTGAAGAGTAACTACCAAAAGACTATAAAGAAAAGGCAACAAAATACCAACAAGAAAACAAACAAAAATCTCAATTAAAAAGTAGAAAATAATTTTTCAAAATTAAAAGTTCTGAAGCTTGGTTGCACAACAATGTATACACTTAATACTACTAAACTATATACTTTAAAATCATTTAGATGGGAAATTTATATTATATGTATTTTATCACAATTAAAAATATTTTCAATGGAAAGAGACAAAAAGAAGCAACAAAAACAATGACAAACAGAAAACAAAAAATAAAGTGGTAGAAACATGTCCATACACATTAGTAATCAAAATAAACATAAAAGGGCTAAGTTTACCCTTTAAAGACAGTCTGCTATACTGAATTAAAAAATGAAATCCAGACTTTAGTAGAAAAAGCATTATTAAGAAAAGGGAAACAATGATAAAGTATAATATACTAGGAAGAAATACCATTATAAGCTTCTGTGCAGTCTACAAGACAGTCTCAAAATATATTTTTAAAAAAATTACTGAAATTGGTAAAATTGATAAATATATCACTATAATGAAAAATTTCAATTTCTTAATCATTAATAAACCAAGCAGACAAAATAAATAGTGAATATTAAATAAGATCTGAAAAAGATAAAATTGACAAGCTTCACATATAGAAGCTTGCTCTCTATATTGGCAACACATACTGTTTCAACAACACATATTTAATGTTTTAAAAATGGAAGAAGCTAGGCCATGAAGCAAGTCTCAGTAGATTTCGAAGAATAGATATCACATAGATCGAGTTCTTTAATAATACTGCAATTAAATTAGAAATAAAAAAGAACTCCCTACATTAAAAACTTTAAAAGATACTTATAGATAACTCATTGGTCAGTGAGAAAAATCATAAAGGATATCAAAATACATAAAAAATTAAAAATATAAAAACAACACAAATGTTTTAGTATATACTAAAACTTGGAGATGCAGTAAGCTTCTAAGCTATACTTAGAAGAAGACTTATAGCCTGGAACATGAGGGAGAACCAAAAAAAAGAAATTTATTTATAAAAATTGTATATTTAGTCTTACATGTTTAAACTTTGGTCGCCTCAAAATACTCTCTGATTGCAATACAACCACTGAGACGCTTTCTCCACTGCTCAATACGGTTTTTGAACTCATCAATTTTGGTGCCGTTTAGTGCATCTGCCATTTTTTGTTTCACTTCTTCCACATTGACAAAATGATTCCCTTTGAGAACTTTTTTCATCCAGAGAAATTAAAAAAAAAAATCCTCAGGGAGAGATCAGGTTAATAGGGAGAATGGGGTACAAGAGTCATGTTGTTTGGGTCAAAACTGCTGAACACGCAGTACAGAGTGGGTAGGTACGTTGTCATGGTGGAAGAACCAGTCACCTGTTTGCCACAACTTTAGATGTTTCTTCAGCAAATCATGACACAACCGTCTCAAAACTTCCAGACACTGGGCTGATCTTTTGATCTGGAGTAACAAATTCCAAGTGTACTAGAGGGGCCTACCCTTCAAAAGATAATTCTGTTTTTTGAAGAAGTCACCCTCGTGTATATACAGGGGAAAAAAGGTTGAAATTCCATGAGACAGCAGTTAAGTTAGAGATAGAACAACACGATAAATAAGCTGAACTACAAAGAAGATAATAAAGATAAGAGCATAAATCAATGAAACAGAAATGAAGGAATAATGAGGTACAACACAGCCAACAAAGTTTCTTTGAGAAAAACAATAAAACAGACATCTGGTAAGATCAATTGAGGGAACAAAGATGAAGGCACAAAGAAATACTAGAAGAGAAAAAGAAATCTAAGTGAGATCAAAAAAGATAATTTAAAAATATGACAAAAAGAACTTTATGTCAATAAATTTATTAATTTATGAAACGAACAAATTTCTATAAAAATACGATTTATCAAAACCATTTTAAGAAGAAACTGAATGACTAAGTAGCTCTATTCCAGTTAAAGTAAACCAATAGTTAACAAAATTTCTCCACTCAAGCCAGGCTCAGTGGTGTATACTTGGAAGGCTGAAATGGGAGGAGTGCTAGAGCCCAGGAGTGTGAGACCAACTGTGGCGATATAGAGTGATGCTCTGAAAAAAAAAAAATTTTTTTTTTTTTTTTTTTGCTTTTAAATTCCCGTATCCTCCCAGTGGTGGAGGAGAACCTCCAGGTCCAGATGGTTCTACAGGTGGTTCCCCTAATGTTTTAAGGAATAGAGAACATTTCTCTTACACATCTTTTCCAGAAAAAAGACGAAGCAATATTACCCAACTCATTCTATGAGACCAATATAATCTTGATCTTTAAAAAATGACAGGAAAGGTAAGAAAACAAAAGCTACAAGCCAATCTCACTCATAAAAACAAAGTTAAAAGTCCTAAAAAAAAAATCAGAAAATCACTTTCAGTGACATATAAAGTAAATACACACGAACTCTCTATATAAACAAACTCCTTATGTTGAAATTCTAGCTCTACTGCTTTCTATATCTATGACTCAGTCTCACCATATGTAAACTAAGAATCATAGTAACAATACCTAATTCATGGGGCTGTGATGAAGATTAAGTAACCTAATATAAGTAAGGCACTCAGAACAGATATCTGCTACATAAATATGACTTATACTATTAGAATGTTATTTAGGTGATAATACATTAGAAATTTAGGCTTAACCAAGAAATGTAACAGTGGTTTAATACTAGAAATAAGTCTATAAATGCAACTCACCACATCAACCTATTGACGAGCAAAGATCATATAATCATATCAACAGAACACAGAAAAGCATATTTAATAAATCCAATGCCATTCTTAGTAAAAACTATTAACAAAATAGGAATAGAAGGTAACTTCCTTAACCTAATAAAAAGTATTTACCAAAAATTTACAGTAAACATTACCAGTGGTAAAATATCAAAGATATTTGCTTTAAAATCAGGAATAAGATACAGATACTTGCTATCACCATTTCTATTCAACATTGTACTGAGGGGCTACTAAAGTAAGACAAGGAAAGAAAGAAAAGTCTTAAGAATCTAAAAGGAAGAAACAAACTGCCATTATTTGCAGAAAACCTCAAAGTATCTAAAATACATCCCATTAAAATGAATAAGAGAGTTTAGCAATGTTGCCAGAACAAAATCAATGTAGAAAAATCAGTAAGAAAACAAATTTTAAAGACATTTGGAATGTGAAAAGATATAGAGAATAATAAATTTAAGGAAAGGCAAACAAGACCTGTATGAAATATTATGGAAGAACATTTTAAAATGCCTTTAAATATATGCAGAGTTATAATGTTTATGAATAAAAAAGACTGTGGGATTCAGAGAAACAATGATTTTGCATACAGTTGGGCCCTCCTGAACAAATGTTAATAAAACCTAGGCTAAATGCCTTGGAAAGTAACTAACTTACAAGTGAGAACAATCCTAACAGATTTGCCTTCTAGAGGTAGTATGTTGACATTTCAAGGTGGGGTGGGAGAGAGTAAGAGTCTGCACCATGGAGACTTCCTCTGGCACAATCAAGACTTACCACAGCCTTAAACTCCTGGGCTCAAGAGATCCTCCCACTTCAGCCTCCCCAAGTACCTGGGACTATAGGTGTGCGCCACCAAGCCCAGCTAATTTTTTAAAATTTTGTATGGAGACATGGTTTCACCATGTTGCCTTAGCTGGTCTTAAACTCCTGGGCTCAAGCAATCCTCTTGCTTTGGCTTCCCAAACTGCTGGGATTACAGGCGTGATCCATCATGCCTGGTCCTAACAGTTTAATCTTTAATAGTTTTCTCTGTTTGTCATTTTTATTACTTTTACCAGCCGAGAGTTATTTATTTTATTTTTAATTCCATTTCTTTCCTGGCAGCAACACTTATAAATCTTCCCCAGAAGGGCATCATTCTATATTATCAGTGTATTATGTGCTATATCATTGAATACAATTTATACTATGTCATAAAATGATTACTTGTTTGCATTGGCTAATATTAGTCCCAACATTATTTTCTTTGTTCATGAAAGCCATAGTGTTTAGCAGTACCTGGTTCAAGTAAAGCATTTTTCTCTAGTGCTTGAATGTTACTTACCCTCTGGATTGTGTTACAGAGTCTTAGTTATCGATAAATTTTGTTAATGTTTATAACAATGTTTCAGTGTTACACAAAGATCTTATGAAAATGACTTTAGCTTGTTCATCCAAGCTGCTTTGAAAGATAAGCTGCCAGGTGCAGTGGCTCAAGCCTGTAATCTCAGCACTTTGGGAGGCCAAGGTGAGAGGACTGACTGAGCCCATGCGTTTAAGACCTGCCTGGCCAACTTGGTTAGACCTCATCTTTTTTTTTTTTTTTTTTTGAGTTGGAGTCTCACTCTGTCACCCAGACTGGAGTGCAGTGGCTCCCGGCCACCGCAGCCTCGCCAGCTGGGCTCCAGCGATCCTTCTGCCTCAGCCTTCCAAGTAGGCGGAACTACAGGCGTGTGCTACCACACCCAGCTAGTTTTTGATTTATTGTAGAGATGAGGTCTCGCTGCCCAGGCAGGTCTCGAACCCACAGGCTCAGGCAATCCACTCACCTCAGCCTCCCAAAGGTGCGGGATTACAGGCTGAGCCACCGAGCCCGGCTGGTTAGACCTCATCTTTACAATAAATCAAAAAATTAGCCAGGCGTGGTGGTGCATGCCTGTACTTCCAGCTACTTGAAAGGCTGAGACAGAAGGATCGCCTGAGCCCAGCAGGTGGAAGCTGCGGTGGCTGTGAGCATGCCATTGCACTCTGCCTGGGCGACAGAGTGAGACTCCAACTCAAAAACAATAAATAAATAAAAGAAAGATAAGCTGATATTTTAAAAATAATGAAATCACCAAAGAAATTTTAAATTACAGTCTTTTAAAATGTTCGTATCAGCCGGGCTCGGTGGCTCAGCCTGTAATCCTGCGCTTTGGGAGGCTGAGGTGAATGAACTGTCTGAGCCCGCGGGTTCAAGACCCGCCTGGGTAACTTGGCGAGAACTCATCTCTACAATAAATCAAAAAAATTAGCTGGGCGTGGTAGCGCATGCCTGTAGTTCCAGCTACTTGGAAGGCTGAGGCAGAAGGATCGCCGGAGCCCAGCAGGTCAAGGCTGAGGTGGCTGAGAGCGGCCACTGCACTCCAGTCTAGGCGAAAGAGTGAGACTCCAACTCAAAAATAAAATAAAATAAAATAAAATGTTCGTATCAGCAACTCATAATGAACATATGCCTGTATTTTAAATCTTTTCCATAGATACTAAATAGATTCTACTATTTTCTTACTTCTTCATAATGTTTTAAAGTAACATTCACTTTTAAATAAATCCTTTAATTTTCCAAAACAAAGATTCTGAACTTTAAAGCCTCAAGAATGAGTTTCTTAATTACTAGCCAATAATCAAATGACATACACCAAAGTAATTCTTAAATCTTCAAATCAACTTTTTTAAAGATAAAATATACTATATAATATTGTAATTCATTATGAATGCATTCAGTATCCTATATACAAGATTAAAAATACAGAAAAGTCTTTAACAATCTATTCTTTTTTTTTACCTTATTTAGATCTTCTCTTTCTTGTTGTAATGTTTTGATTTGTTTTTCATAAGCCTTGACTTGTCTAAAAGCATCATCTAGTTCTTGCCTCACAGAATTAGCTTCTTCAAGTTGCTGTTCCAAATGACTTGACTCTAAAAACAAAAGACAATATTTCTTCTACTATTTGCATAAAAACAAATGACTAAACCCAAATTTTAAAACAACTAAAATATTGTTTTAAAAAGTATTTTGAATTTGGTACAATATTAGGTATATTGACACCACAAACCAGCATGACTCATGAAATTAAACGCATATCAGTTCACTGTAATGACCATGTATGGCATATGTCAATGTGACGATGTGAAAATTTTATGACAGAAATGTCTTATATATTTATTTGGGGGGAAAAGACCATACTTCCAAAAACAGCACCTTCAGACCAATTCAAAACTTAAAATTAAGAAAGAAGAACAAAACCAAACAAACAATAAGACAGTTTGCATCTACTGTGGCAAGCATCCTAGTGCTGATGCTAGTCAAATTACTGTTAGACAGTTTTGCTTTTAATAGTGTGATTCCAGATCTCGCAGCCTAGTTTCACTCTTGCCTATTGGAAGAATAAACTCTACTTTCTAAAAGTAAATATCTGAAAGCCTCTGATCCAAATCAGTTCTTTATTTTTCAGATGAAGAAAGTCAGGGAGATGAAGAGTTTGCCAAGGACACATTGCTAAATAAGTACCAGAGCTAAGACCAGAGCCCAGGAAATCCTGCACTGACCTCTCCAACTTACAAAGTAATGTTAATAGATAATGTTAACATTATCACTTCAGAAGGGTTATTATGAAATATAATTATTAATTTTAACATGTGCTCAAATAAAACTTAATAAATTGATAGGAAAAATTCTTGGCATCAAAAGTAAATTAGCAGATTAAAGAACTAAAGCCAGCAAAAATAAAGAAATCTAAATGTATTCATATTAATTCTGTTTTGGATATTTTCTATTCTTTACACTTCACTTCTCTTAGTGACATCCCCAGAGAAGTAATATCAGCATCCTCTAGGACCTTGGATATGCAGAATCTCAGGCCCCATCCCAGACCTAATGAATCAGAATTACCCAAGATCTTCAAGTGATTCATTTGTACATTAAAATGTGATAACAAACTAACAAAGTATTCATATTGTTGAGTCTGATGCTTTTAATAAGTGAAGTAGTGTTAATAGTTCTATAGAGAAGAGCATTTCATTTGTATAGGTAAGTTCTGTAGTCTATCATTTAAATATAATATGTACTAAATGCATAAATAAAATTTAATTAGATTCCATAAATAAAATAATTTACTATGTCCAGTGCTGTAAATTTATAGATTAATAAAAACGTAGCTATTTGGAAAGTCTAGATATATTTGTTAATAGCATAGTTTTTAACAACTTTTGAAAATACATGCAAAGTTGTATTTAACTGGTTGTCATATTACCTTTTTTTTTTTTTTTTTTTGAGTTGGAGTCTCACACCGTCGCCCAGACTGGAATGTAGTGGCCGCTCCCGGCCACCGCAGCCTCGACCTGCTGGGCCCCGGTGATCCTTCCGCCTCAGCCTTCCAAGTAGCTGGAACTACAGGCGTGCACTACCACACCCGGCTAATTTTTGATTTATTGTAGAGATGAGGTATCGCTAACCCCCAGGCCACAGCCATGTCCTATTAGGAACTGGGTGACACAGCAGGAGGTGAGCAGCTGGCAAGCAAGTGAAGCGTCATCTGTATTTACAGACACCTCCCACCGCTTACATTATTGTCTGAGCTCTGCCTCCTGTCAGATCAGTGGCGGCCATTAGATTCTTATAGGAGCACAAACCTTACTGTGAACTGTGCACACAAGGGATCTAGGTTGTGCACTCCTTATGAGAATCTCATGCTTAATGATCTGAGGTGTTACTGTTTCCCATCACCACCAGATGAGAACATCTAGTTGAAAGAAAACAAGCTCAAGGCTTCCACTGATTGTGCATTGTGGTGAGTTGCAAAATTATCTCATTATATATTACAATGTAACAATAACAGAAATGAAATGCACAATAAATGTAATGTGCTTGAATCATCCCAAAGCCTCCCCACCACCCACTGACCCTGACCGTGCAACAACTGGCTTCCTGTGCTACAAGAATTGAGAGAAGGTTTTTTTTTTAAAGGCCATGACTAAAGCAGTACTCAAAGTGAAACACGAGTAAATTGGAAAGGGGTAAGACGGGAGTCAGAGGGAGATTAAAAGAAAAATCAAAGCATCTTCCTGATCCACGAGGTGCATAGTTTCATAGCTTTTCCACTATGTCACTTTTCTGAGATAATAAAAGATTTCACTTCTAATCATAAGTAAAAACGACTCCCTCATTATCAATCCTTTCTACTCATGAAAGAGAGGGAGAAAGGAAGACAGGAAGAAAGGAAGAGAGGGAGAGGGGGAGAGGGGGAAAATGAGAGGGAGAGAGCGGGGGTTGGGGGGAGAGAGGGACAGAGAGAGAGGTGTAGGAGTGTGTGTGTGTGTGTGTGTATGTGTGTGTGTGTGTGTGTGTGTGTGAGTTTTGGGGTGGAGAGACAGAGACAGTACACAGAGGCACAGATTCCCAACCCTAAGGAAATAAAAGAATGGAGTTAAATAGGTACATTATACATTATAACAAATTGTTCATTTAAAAACAAAAAGCCCAGTCAGGCTCGGTGGCTCAGCCTATAATCCCGCCTTTGGGAGGCTGAGGTGAGTGGATTGCCTGAGCCTGCGGGTTCGAGACCCGCCTGGGTAACTTGGCAAGACCTCATCTCTACAATAAATCAAAAAATTAGCCGGGCGTGGTAGCGCGTGCCTATAGTTCCAGCTACTTGGAAGGCTGAGGTGGAAGGATCGCCAGAGCCCAGCAGGTTGAGGCTGCAGTGGCCGGGAGCAGTCACTGCACTCCAGTCTGGGCGGCAGAGTGAGACTCCAACTCAAAAAAAAAAAAAAAAAAAGCCCAACATTTTCTCATATAAAAATGTTAGATGAGGTATGAATTTTTATTTTTGTCTGCAGATATTAGCACATATGTATTTAGTGTCTGTTATACAGTACTGGCATGAAGCTTGGCAATAGGAATACAGTAGAAAAACAAACTCTGTTCTTATCCTTTAGGAGCTCAGAGTGTGGTAAGGAAAGCAGATTTTACAAATAAGTTGAAAAGAATTATAAATTTGTAATTTTTTTTTTTTTAGGAATTTTAAAATATCAGAAAAACTAGGGCCAGGCACCATGGCTCAAGCCTGTAATTCCAGTACTTTGGGAGGCTGAGGCAAGAGGATTGCCAGAACCCGCAGGTTGGAGACCAGCCTGGGCAACATGGTGAGACCTCATCTCAACAATAAAAAAAATTAGCTGAGCCTGGCACATGCCTGTAGTTCTGGCTACTTGGAGGGCTGAGACAGAAGGATTGCTGGAGCCTAAAAGGTCGCCACTGGGGTGGCTGTGAGCACGCCACTGTACTCCAGCCTGGGCGACAGAGTGAGACTCCAACTAAAAAAAATTTTTAAAAAAAAATCAGAAAAACTGCTATAGGAAAATGCATGATATAGTCATTAAAGGTATTTGTGTATGCAAAAACCTTGCTTAAGAAGTATCTAGAGGAATGTTGGATTGAAGATATTTTCGATACTTATTTTCTTCAGAGCTAGACTTAAAGTTGAGGTTACTTAACCGGCAGGTTCTTAAGGGAGTCTTGAATTTGTTAAACAAAAAATGCAGTATCAGTGGAGCATAATACAAATGTTACATCTGTAGGTAGGAATAAAAGACAAAGCTGGAGAGGTAAATGGGCCTTGTAATCAAAACTGAAATATTTTAATTTTATCCTGGAGGCAGTGGGGATTCACTGATGATATGTATGTCAAAGCTGTGACATGAACACATTTACATTTTTAAAAAGCTTATTCTAGAGACTTCAAGTTCTGGGGAGATGGAATAGATATATTTCACAGTCTTCCCATTAAGTACAACCTAAAATCCTGAACATTATACATAAAACAAACATAAGAAGATTAAAATGTGAAGAGAAAAACTAGGATACTGGAGCCTGAGGAACAACATAATGGTAAGTTTTCTTTTTGGTTCACATATCTCAGAATTAGAGTTAAAGAAGATGACAACCCATAAAGGCCAGCAGTTATACAGAAAAAAAAGCCCATCAAAAGTCTGCTCTTTCTAGTCAAAGAACCAGGAAAGGGGTAGACTATGAAGACAGAAAACTCTTAGAAAATAACCATTCCACTTGGGTTAAATCACAGAAAAAAACTGTGGCTCAACACTTGCCCATGTCAACAAAGGAAAGGTGAAAAGCTAGATTTCCAATCTCATGAGGCTGCATTTAGGTGCCAAACATACCCACAAGAGTAATCAGAAGTAGGATGTTCATTCCTACTAGCTAGTAACAAGCTCCTCCCCACATACAGTATCAGTGGAAACCTTATGGGGAACCTGAACTACCTCTCCCAACCTGGCAGTGATGAGGGGTTCTTCTGCCTTCCTTCTGGGGTGGTATCAGAAGAGAGTAAGAATTTTCACTACTGTCCAGTGGTAAAAAGGTCATCTCCACCAAAGTGTCAGCAGAAACCATGCAACAGTCTGGAACCCCCAACACCATTCAGCAGTGATGAGGAATTATCCCTTGGATATCAAGAATGGCCAAGTGGAGATACTATACTTCTACCTCAAACTGGCAGTAATGAGACAGCAATCCCTTTTCCACTACTAAAATGGTGTCAGGAAAAGCCAGTTAAAATGATTCAAATAAGATCCAGTCTTTAATTAAAATCACTCATTCTACCAAGAACCAGGAAAATCTCACCTGAATGACAAAAGATAATCAGTAGATGCAAAATAGCAAGATAACAAGAAATATTAGAATTAAAGCATCCATAATAAAAATCTGTCAATGAGTATTATTAACATGCTAAAATAAATGAACAAATAAAAAGGCCCGAGCAAAAATATAGACAGTCTCAGCAAAGAAACAGACTATATAAAGAACAAAATGAAAATTTTATAATTAACACCATAACTGAAATAAGAAGCTCAGTAGATGTGCTTAATGGCACAAATGAGGTGCTAAAAGAAGGAATCCA